GATATAATTTTGTTGGAATGTCTGTGGGTCAGCCCCAACATGTTAAAGTCCATCTCAGCTCTGCATCTACAAGGGAGATAGAATAGAGTGGCCAGGAGAGAAAAAATATTATTCAACTTTAAGATATAAGTACCAGACTTTTCTTTTCTATGCACCAGATGACAAGAATTAATCATTTTATAGCCCTTTGTCATTTTCCCTCATGATCTTTGGTTTTTACCAAGAGAAGTGCCAGCTGTACTAGAGACTACAGAATCTAGGTAGAAAGACATAGTTGAGAAAGGGACAGCTGTAGAGATAAAACTTCTCCAACTTGGGAAACAAGGACAGGGAGGGGCTGTGCTGAAGTAACAAATACAGTGGCCAACCTGTATTTGTGGCAGGATTAAGATTAGGTTTAGTCTGAAAGCAATCTTCACTTGTAGACATTTGAGAAAAGGGAGTACTCACTGCTTTAATGAGATTATTTGTTATAATTTAAGACATTATTTCTCTTTTCATCTTAATGGTGTTTTGTACAAAAAATATCCTTACATAAGAGGTGAGACTTGGCTTATGTTTTTGGAGAAAACATGGCAGAATTAGCAATTTGGATTGATGATGCTGAGGGCATCATCCAAAACCAACTAAAGCACCAACTTGAGTTTATTTGGGCTCTTCAGCACTTCATCAGGGTCATTTGATGGCCTGCTGAATCATTCTGCTCTTGCTTCTGAAAGTTCTGTCTCTTATTCTGCTACTTACATTTTTTTTTTTTTTTAGAGATTTATTTATTTATGCATACAAGAGCTGGGGTACAGCCAGAGGTGTGTGTGTGTGAGAGAGGATTCACCAGAGACAGTGTGGGAAGCAGAACAGGTAGAATGACTGAAATACACTGCTGAGGGGACCAGCAGACGAGCCAGGAGAGGTCTGCTGCACCATATGCATACCCCCCGCCAGGGCTCCACTCATGCTGCAGTGGCTAGGGATAGCTTCATAGGTTGAGTCTTAACCTCTTGCACCACTAGGGGGTCCCTTATTCTGCAACTTCTATCCTGAGAAATTCAAACATTTTAGATGGCAGTTACCAAGTAAACAAAGTGAGAGTTACAGGGGTGAAAATTGTTGAAATGAGTTTGGATTCTGCATTAACGCTGCTCGATTTTTGCTGCTATTTTGTACTGAGCCTAGGTGATTGGTTTTTTTTTTAAGATTATTTATTTTTGCATAGAAGAAATGGGGTACAGGCTGGAAGTATGGGGTGAGAGGATTCACTAGAGACCATCTAGTGGGCAGAACAGGTGGATTTACTGAAATATACTGCTAAGGAGAGCAGCAGGTAAGATAGGAGAGGTCTGCTGCACCATATGGGTCAGCTCCCTGGCCCTGGATAAAACTCAGGCCTTCATAGTGATAACCTTGAGACTTAACCCCAAGACCACCAGGGAGGCCTCTGGTTCTAGGTTTTAAACCTTCCATCTGAAAACATTTCATTTCTGAGGTCAAACGTGGAGAAAAGAGTTGAAATGTTGTGACTGTTAGAAGACCTATAGCGGAGATCAGGGATTTACTAGCTTGTGCTCAAGGTAGTTAGTGGATACAGAGGAACAAAGGGCAAGGAGAGGGCTCTCATTTCATCAAGGACTGACTTATTACAGTCTAATTAAATGTACACACTTTAAATTAGTGTTCAAAATTCCATGTAATTACTTTCTCTTGAAGTGACATTTTATTGTGGAAAGATATTTCTAAGACAATAAAAAATTAATAATAAAATAAATCATTATAAAGTCCTCACTTCAGAAAAATTTTTCTGCTAGCATATGAAACTAATAGGCAACATGTTAAATGATTTATTTCATGAGTCTAATGATGTCTGACTTCTTAGATTCATCCCTATGTGCTAGTCCTTTCCAGTGCAAATAGTACATCTCAGTTTAGGTAACTTTCAGACATTTCAAGGGAAAATATAAGCTGATCACCATTCTTACTTCATCTGTTTCAGAAATCTCTCATTTTACACTGGAAGTGTGTGTGCATCTATAGGGAGGTAGGAGCCCATGAGAGCAGGATTCCCAAACTAGCTGTGTTTCCAGTCTCAGGAGAGTGGTTATTATAGAAAGCTCATCTTCATAAGGTCACCCAGGGGCTACAGTCATCAGAAGAAGGCCAGTGGGAAATTGAGGAGTCACACTGTGCCCGAGGGTGTGACTGCTGCTCGGAGACACTTTGTCAGTATGTATTTTGGGGAACCGTGCACTGGAAAGCCAAATATAATGGTTAAGTTTGATCCTCAAGTTAATGCGTTGTATATATCAGGGAATAGATAACATTTCACTCAAACGTTAGTCTGTAAGGACTTTGAAAGCCATGAGCACATTAGACTGTGGGTCACCTAGCTCAGAAGAGGTCAGCTCAGATCTGTCTCCAGCAGGAAGGCTGCCTGGAGAATGTCCCTTCTTTGATTATTAGAGGCATAGTATCAGTGTCCAGATTTGTGTCAATAGCCACAGAGAAAAATGAAGGATACCTTGTCCTTGACCTTAATGAACTTTGCTGCTCCTGGGAGAGGTAGCTAAGAACTATAGACCCAGTTAGAGGCATAAAACCACGTAAAAGGAGCCTATAGAATTCTCACAGGGTCCATGGGAATAAGACTAATTTTCAAGTTGGGAGGCCAGAAATTGACCAGAATTGTGATTAAATGACTGAAGACAATGGGAGAAACAGTTCATTTGATGTATGAGGCTGAGCAGAGCTGTGACATGAGCTGGCTGAACCGAGCAGTCGCCTTGGATCAGGATTAGTCTAAACCAGTCATCCTCCTATCATTGTTTCTGCAGAAGCAGCAAGAGTATTACTGAGCAATTTGTTAGCAAGGCAAAAGTCTTGACTTCCCTTCAGACTTACAGAATTGGAAACACTGGGGGGTTGGGTTTGGAAACTTGTGTTTCAACAAGTTTTCCAGGTAATTTGGGACCAGAAGCATGGGAGAAAATTCTGATAAGAAGCTCACACTATATAGTCAAGGGGGGAAAAAATGATTCCAAACCTTCACTGGAAGATATTTTGTGCACGGGGCAGTTCAGCAACATGCCCCAAAATTCATCTATAGAAGCCGACTTTTCTTTTGCTTCAGGACACAGCTGAACCTGAGCACTCCTTCACCAGCAGGAGCCAAGAAGGTCACAGAGAACTGAAGCTCCACTCTCTGTCACATCATTTCCCGGGCATATTGAAGCATTCCTCAGGTCTCCCCTTGCACTGGAAGGCTCGTTTCCATATTTTTCTCTGTGTCCTAAGAAGTGTGCACTGTTTTTTAAAGCAGTCGCAAATTCAAATAAGACACTACACTGGATTCTTTTGTATTTATTATTTTCACTAGTAGGTTGCTCCCCCCACCCCTTCATTACTACACTAATTTTTCCATTTTGCTTTGTTCAGGTTTTTACTGTTAATCAAGGGTGTCAGTGGTTTAGAGTAGAGTAAGATCTCAAGATGTGAACTAAATTCGTCAAGGACCTTGTAACACTTTCAAGGGTCTCTCAGCCGCATCTGCCTAAGCACACTCACTGAGCACCTGTCTCGTTGCCCTGCAGTGCTCGCTCTGAGCTGTAATAAAAGATGAGATTTCATTGCTGACAGATGGAGCACGCTTTTTAGAAAATAAATAGGAAACATCACCAAGTATAGGGAAATTTTGTTTGTATTTCATAGCATGCCTGGGGGATTTAAGGATCAGAGAGAAATAATCGGCAGGAAAGGCATCTAGCTACCTGTGTTAAAAGAGTAAACAAGAAAAAAATTCTAAGAGGCGTCACTCTTGGTACAGATAAAATGGTATTAGCGGGCCTCCCCGGTGGCGCAGCGGTTGAACGCTGGGTTGCTAAGCTGCCCGCAGCCTCTGCGGCGCCAGTTCGATCCCCGGCTGCTCCCCGGCCACCGGAGGAGGATCCCACATGGCGCGCAGACTTCTCCTGCCGCCCGCTGCTCCCCTCAGCAGTGTACTTCATCGGTCTGCCTGCTCTGCTCCCTGCTCTGGCTCTGGTGAATTCTCTCACCCTCCCGCGCTTCTGACTGTACCCAGTGCTTGTATAAACAAAACAAACAAACAAACAAACAAACAAATAAATAAAAAAAAATGGTATTAGCAGAAGAAATTGGTTATCTGAGGGCAAAACAGATGATTCTCGGAGGATAGGATGCATAAAGCACAGAGGTGAGTCAAAACATAGTGCCCTGTGAGGGGCTGGGTGGATGCCTGTGGAGCTGGGCACCTTTTCATTTGAAGGGAGTTATTCTCTATTCATAAAGTTATGAATGCTGAGGACATTGTTTTTAACAAGGATTAATGTGGTCCAGTTCGAAATTTAAGACAGATTTTATGTCAATAGACTTGTGGGGGCAGCTAGGTCAGTTAGGAGATTCTCTATCTTTCATCAGAATTTATTTATTTGCCATTCATTTACTAAGCTTTATAATTTGGGGAGTACAACTTCCCACCTCAACATGTACATGTGCTTCTCTCTCCCCCGTGGAACCACATCCTCGCTTTAACCCTCTCTTCTCTCCTCTGTGGTAGCCACCATGTTTTTCAGTGTTTAGAGTTATTTGTGTGTTCAGTGTTTAGAGTTACTTGTGTTTTCCTTTGGTTGTTTGTATTTCATAAATAAGTGAAACCACATGGTAATTGTCTTTCACTTTCTAATTGTTTCACTTGGCACAATCATATCAAACTCCATCCAAATTATGCCAAAAGGCACCATTTCATCTGCTTTAATGCCTGCATAGTATTCCACTGAGTTTACAGAGAGTTCCTTTATCCAGTCATCTGTGGATCAGCATTTGGGTTGATTAGGTTGTGAATAACGTTGCCATGAACATAATGGTGCATAAATCTTTTGTATTATTGCTTTCATTTTCGTTCAATAAATGCCTCCAGATGATATTAATGAAACAGCCAAACCTTGAATTCTTGTCTCTTTTCCTTCAGTCATTTCCAGGCCCACCTGACAGCCATGGTGTTATCTCTCAATAGCACGGGGACCCAGGTGACTGAGTTCCTGATGATCTGCTTCCCAGAAATGCAGGCCACACAGCATTGGCTATCTATAGTCCTGGCTCCTCTTCTGGTTTTGGCCATTGGGGCCAATTTTGTGCTCTTACTCGCCATCCGGCTTGAAGCATCTCTGCACGAGCCCATGTACTACCTGCTTGCCATTCTCTCCTTCCTGGATGTCATCCTCTGCCTCACCGTCGTTCCCAAGGTCAGACCCTCCCTGGATTCTCTCTCAGGCATTGAGTCATTTTTCTCTAAACAGTATTTTGTTTTGCTGCTCTAAGTCCCCCTACACTTGAAGGAAAACCCAGCGTGAGTCACCCACACCATCACACTAGGTCCATGCAGTCTCACATATATTTCCTCTCATTCGTAATACCCAATGTTTTTGTTTTAAGGTTTCTTTCTTTCCCAACTGACAGACCCTCTCCCAATGGGATAGTGCCAGATTTGAACATTTTACTTCTAGGAATATTCTTTATTCCTTTTGACTTTGAATGACCCCATCCCTATATCCAAGGGATCAGGAGTTTATACTGCAAAGTATAACTGAATGCATGGTTATGTCATGCACATATACTGAGATAGGAGCACATTGGAAGAGGTTTCTCAAGTGTGTGCAGAAGTCAAAGGGTGTCTAAATATAAGTATTGGCCTTATTGGCTTTATGCTCTTGTGACATCTTTAGATGAGCAGATGTGGTCTGGTGGAGTTTGGGTAAGAACTCTGGAGAGTTCTTTTATTTTTAAATAAAGGCATGGTCTATACAGGAGAGAACAAGGTATAAATCAGACTCTGGAGATTGGGCTGTACATTGAAGGCATTTGAAATTAGGATACTATCTCCTGAAACTGTGGGTCTGTGATTTGGGGATATGAATGGTTTAAGTCACTCAAGGGTTTTTTGCAGAGTTAGGTACCCTATGGTGGAACAGATGCACAGTTTTTGAGAATAATGATTCTGACAGGTCCTGCTCATCTTCTGGTTCAACATGAAGCACATCAGTTTTGTAGGCTGCTTCCTACAGATGTTCATCATGAATACATTTCTTCCCATGGAGTCTTCCACCTTCATGGTCATGGCCTATGACCGCTACGTGGCCATCTGCCACCCGCTGCGCTACACATCCATCATCACTGACCAGTTTGTCATTAATGCAGTGATCTACATTGTCTTCCGCAATCTGCTGGCCACACTTCCTACACCAGTTATGGCTGCCAGACTCAACTACTGTGCCAGCAACGTGGTGGAGAATTGTATCTGTGCCAACATTTCTGTAGCAAGGCTCTCTTGTGACAATATTCACCTAAACAAACTCTACCAGTTTGTAAGTGTTTGGTGCCTACTGGGTTCTGATCTGGTACTCATCTTGCTGTCCTACTGCTTCATCCTGAGGGCTGTTGTACGTTTGCAGTCGGGTGGTGCAGCCACCAAGGCATTGAGTACGTGTGGTTCCCATCTCATTCTTATACTTTTCTTCTATACATTGCTGCTAGTCTTCATCTTCACAAACAAGTTAGGAAAGAAGGTGCCCGCAGGGGTACCCATTCTTCTCAATGTCTTGCACCACCTCATTCCACCAGCCCTGAACCCCATTGTTTACGGAGTACGAACCCAAGAAATCAAGCAAGGGATTATCAAGTTACTCAAGTACCAGCACTGAGAGTTGAGTCAAAGATTGGGGATTATTGAAGCCTGGGCATGTTTACTGGGGGCCTCATCTGAACGCCACAAGGAGCACAATATGACATCCATGCTACTACCCTCATCTTGAACCTAAATCTTCCTCAACCATTGTCACACTGTTGATTCTCACGATCCCTCCTCAAATCCTCATTGAACCCATGTTCAGGTATCCATTGTTTCTTCATTCTGACCCCTTACCATTGTGATCCATCAATTTCTTATTCATTAAATAAGTATTTAATACCTACCATTTACTCCTCAGTTTCTACATTCTATCTCTCATATTTAACTCATAGGTCAGGTATGGGCCAGCACTTTAAATGAGCATGAAAGGTATAGGTAGGATTGGGGAATCCAATGAGGGCTTCGATAATCCACAGGAAAAGTGTTAATAGATTGGACTAAAGTGGTGAGTAAAAATTGAAGCTTCAGGTCCCAAGATTTGCTGAGAGTTCATACATAGGATAAAAAAGATAGACTGGGTAGAGAGTGACACCAAGACTTATTCCAAGAGCAACTAGAAAAGTGGAATTGCTAATAGTTTTTCTAGGTGCCAGTTTTATATGTGACATAAGAAGTTTATTTTTGACACTGAACTGCATTCCCATACTTAACTCTTCTAAATGACTGTACCCTTGAAGTGACTATGAAGCATCCCAACAGAGAAATGAAAGTAAGTGATCGGACTCATGAAACTATTCAGGGGCCAGATCCAAACTAGAGCCAGAAGTTGGAGCTATCAGTATAGATGGTATTTAAATGCTGTTTAGATGTGTGGTACAAGATTGTTGAATTTTTCACTCACTTCTATCTCTCTCTTCAAGACACTTCTTCAAATGTTGGGTATCCTGGATCCACAATAACTTGCCACTTTTTTAAAGTTATTATCTCATTAAGGTCAGAAATCATGTTTATTTCTGTGTATCTGCAACATCTAGCATTGTGTCTGCCACACAGCTAGTGCTTTATCAATTAATGAAAAAAAATTTTAACTTTCTCAAAACTTTTAGTCCTATTGTGTGGCACCTGGACTATGGAGTTCTGATGCAAAAATAATGTGAAAAGATGCTCAACATCACTAATCATCAGTAATATGCAAATAAAAACCAAAATGACATAGCACCTCTTACTTTTTGGAATGGATGTTATCAAAAAGAAGGGATTAGTGTTATCAAGAATCTAGAGAAAAAGGAATCCTGTGTTTGTTGGTGGGAATGTAAATTGGTGCATTGTGGAAAAGAGTGTGGCAGTAGCTCAAGAAATTAAAAATAGAACTACCATTCGATCTAGCAATCCCATTTCTGGGTATTTATCTGAAGAAAATGAAAGTATTTACTTGAAAAGACATATGCAGCCTTAAATTCATTGCAGCATTATTTACAATAGCCAAGACACTGAAGCAAGCTAAGTTCCCGTCAATGGTGAACAGATAAAGAAAATGTGGCATACACACACAGCACACACACACAGAGGTGTGCTTATGAACACACTGGAATATTGTTCAGTCATAGAAAGAATAAACTCTTGATATTTGTGACAAAATGGATGTAACTTGAGGGCATTATATTAAATGAAATAAGTCAAAGAAAGCATCCCTAAATAGCACCTTTTCATCACTCAAGTTGACATTTGAAACACAGTTGTCTTTTCTGCATTTTGTAACTGAGATAATAACAATTTTAATATTATTAAAAATAAATTACAAATAAGGACATTAATATCCATAAATATTTAAAAATTTATGTATACAGAAATAGCAAATACAATATAAACTGGAGTTTATTTCTCTACTATAAATTTTGTCCCCCTGAATTCTCACACTTCAGACTAACTAGCACCATAGCAATTTGATAACATTTTTCAAAGTCAAAGAAATGTTGTATTTTGAGGATGAACATTGGGGTTTGAAGAGGAAGAATAGAAACAAGAAATTGTTTAAGAGTTACATTTTCTCTTCTCCTTAATCTTATACCTTTGAGCTATGGGTTTCAACACAATTTCTCTTTAACTGATTGACTAGTCACCAATTGTTCTTATTACCACACTTATATAAAGACCCAATTGTTCTTATTACCACACTTTCTTCAATAACCTCTGTATTCCTTGCTTGATCTCCTGAGTTCGCACTCCATAAACAATGGGGTTAAGGGCTGCAGGAATAACATGGTGGAGGACATTGAGCAGGATCGGCACATCTGGGGAGACTCTCTTCTTCATCACATGAGTCAGAACAAAGACCAGAAGGATGGTGCTGAAGAAGAGGATAAGGATGAAGTGGGAACCACATGTGCTTAGGGCCTTGGCCACAGCACCCTCTGCCTTGAGTCGCAACACAGCTCGTAGTATTAGGGTGTAGGAGAGAAAGATGAGGATGAGGTCAGATCCTAGCAGAGTCCAGCCTCCAACAAATTGGTAGAGACGATTGATGGTCAAGTCATCACAGGAGAGCCTGGAGACAGACATATTGGCACAAATACAGTTCTCAATGACATTTCTCCCGCAATAATAGAGTCGTGCCGAGAGAAAGGGGATGGGTACTGTGAGAAAGACACTCCTGGCTAGAGTGAAAATGGCAGCCTTGGCCACAAATTGGTCTGTGATGATGGATGGGTACCTCAGTGGGTGGCAGATCGCTATATAACGGTCATAGGCCATAATCATGAATGTGCAGGACTCCATGGCAAGGAAGCAATTCATAATGAACATCTGAAGGAAGCAGGCATAGAAACTGATGGTCTTAAGGTCAAACCAGAAGATCATCAGCACCTTGGGGATGACAGTGAGGCAAAGCACAATGTCCAGCATAGAGAGGAGGCTGAGCAGGTAATACATGGGCTGGTGCAGAGCGGTCTCCAGCCAGATAGTGAGCAGGAGGGTGGCGTTGGCCCCCATGGCTAGGAGAAACAGGACTCCGAGGGGCAGGGACAGCCAAAACTGCCAGCTGGGTGACCTGACAAAGCAATTTAGGAGGAAATCTGAAATCTCAATGGAGATGGTGCCATTTTGATGTGTTGTCATATTTTGTCATATATTTCTACAGCTTTCTCTTAGTGATCTGCAAAATTAGGTACAAGTTAGCTACTGACTCAAGATACATGAAAATAGAACTTTTTTCTTTTTCTAAGTAAAACTTTTAGATGCTGGCAGGTTATGCAGAGCCAAGAGAATGTCTGTACATCCTTTGTGCCGTGCTGCTGGGGTGTTCCTGCCACTGTCCAAAGTACAGAGGACTGGGGTGATATGACTTATTTATACATGTTTGAGTTATTTGAGATTTATTTTTAATATTATTATGTATTTGTAGAATCTAAAGAGGAGAAAATTAGAGTATGAATTTTTTGTGATAAGTGAGTCTATAAATATGAATTTGTAATTTTCTTCCTCTTTTTTCATGACCACATAGACCACCATATCTACAATTTAGCTATAACAATATATATGAATAAGTAACATAGCCTGTTACAAAGTAGGGACTCATAAATATCCCTAATTCTCTATACTATGTCCATTTCAACCTTTCAATTGCATTTATTTTTGTTTTAATTAGAAATTTTTTCAAATTGTACATTAAAGTTAGTTTTTGTTTTGTATAAAAACTCATTTTAAGTTGATCAGCATTGATTATGGCAAATAATTGCTTTAATTTATTTCATATTTCTTAGATCCTTCTACTTGTAGGATCCTTAGCTTCTGGAAGAAACATTTTTAAAAAGAGAATGAGCAATTCCACATAGCTGTGTGGGGATGATACCCAACATTAAACAAGGTGAAATACTGATTCTTCTGATTGATTTGTGAGGGTGATGAAGTCCATCTCTAAAGTCCATTCATCACCTTTCCATTTCTCTTTTTCATTTTCAATATAAAGATTCTGCAACCACATGCCTCTTTCTCCACATTACTTCAGTATTGCATTGTTCCCCAATCATTTCACTTTTTCCCCTGTCATTCTATGAAGTACTAGGGCCACAAAACTGAATAGGGAAATATCCTAAATGTCAAGGAGGTAAAGCTAAAGCCATCCTGGGGACAGTGGATAATAACAAAAGACAGGAGGAATGACAGGGTCTTGCAAACTATCCTGAGGCAGGGGGAGGGCTGACTAGCTCCACCATGGGGAATAGACTCGAGACAAGGAATGTAAGTAAACTGATGTGATGCCCTCATTTACAGTAACAATAAAGGACTCTAAGTTTCTTCTCCCTCTGAATTGTGCAAGTCTGAGGAAAGGTGTAGCTTGGCAAAAGATATAGGCCAGGTCTTTTTGTGACCATTCAAATCTTTTAATTGATTGATTTAAATCTGTCTACACAGACAGCGGTTTCTGCGAACATGTTATTTTGTTTTAGAAACTTCATCAGGAGTTTAAGCACTACCCTTTTTATTAGTCATTAGGCTCACATAAATAACATAAAATTCCATATTAGTTTTGGAATGCTTACCACATGCTGATACTGTACTCAAATATCTTAAAATAATAATTATCCCTTGATACAATTAACAGTTTTGAAAATATAATCTGGTAAGGAAAAGTGAATTTTGAGTGGGAGGTGGTAGCAAGAAGGTTTTAATAAAACTGAACTCAGGGCCTCCCTGATGGCGCAGAGGTTGAGTGCTGGGTTGCGAAGCTGCCCGCAGCCTCTGCAGCGCTGGTTCGATCCCCGGCTGTTCCCCGGCCACCGGAGGAGGGTCCCGCATGGTGCGAAGACCTCTCCTGCCGCCCGCTGCTCCCCTCAGCAGTGTACTTTGTCACTCTGCCTGCTCTGTGCCCTGCTCTGGCTCCGGTGAATTCTCTCACCCTCCCGCGTTTCTAACTGTACTCAGTGCTTTTATAAATAAATAAATAAATCTTTAAAAAAAAAAAAATACTGAACTCAGAAAAGAATATTTTTGTAATGTTACAAACATACTTTCTTGGTTGAAATTGTCTTTTTCTTTCCAGTTGTAATTTTCTATTTCCCAAACACAGTTCCAGGCCTGCTGGGCCAGCTCTTCACAGGTTGTCCTCATCAGTGACCCTGTGATTCACCAGGACTTGCTCTCAGAGACAGAGGGTTTGCCCTCCCACCTCATCTCTTCATTCCTCGTGGTCTTTTGCTTCCTCAAAGAGTTCTGTCGAGCTGTGTTGGCCAGGCCTGGCCTACACAGCTGAGCTCTAGAAGAGATTTAGATCATCTTCTACTTCTGTAAGTTCACAAATAGAATTCATTGGTAGTGACTTTGGCAGTTTGGGAATGAATTTTAATCATATTTTCTCCTTTGCAATTTATAATATTCGGAAGTAGGTGGGGTAAGTAGATTATTTTACCAATTTAACTTTTCAGAAGAGCTAATTGAGATCTAGAATATGATATGACTTTTCCAAGTTTAACTGGTACTATTACATGGTGGAATCAATAAAAGGTTCAAAGTCAGCAAATACATAAATAGAGTGGTGTCCTGTGTGACCATGATTATGTAGAAATGGGTATCTTATTTGGCATTTAATGTTACATGTTTTGGGGCTTTCCACCCACTCCCACATGCACACACAATCCTAACAGAAATTCTCCAGCAGTCTGGAACCCTCAGTCTTTTTCTGCTTGCAATTCTGAATCCTGCTTCCCACTACTCAGTATAAAGGCCCACTTTTAGATTGTCTCTCTTATTACTGTTCTCCTGGGTTTGTCTCTAAATGGACGCCTCCAAATGTTTGATAAAGAGTGTAAAACAATTTCTATAGACATATCCAATGATTTATTTTTTGATGACATAATTCCATATCTTCCACTCTCTAATGACGTTTAGCTTACCTACCAGTTCTGTACTTAGTCTTGGTGAAGTGACACACAAGGAAGGGCAGGATGTCATTAAGGTAAAAAAAAAATATATAAAAGTAACATCTAGCCTTGATTTCGTGAGTTAAGGGCCTTTTCCATGTCCTGGACACATTTAGGTCTGCTTTTCCCTCTTCTCTCTTCGAATACATTCCTTGTAAGTCTGACCATAAACTAATCGCACCTGCTAAGACCAGACGTGTTATCGTGACCCAACTGATGGTTTTGCTTGTGCCACAGCATCTACAGTTTCAGCCTGGCAAATTCTGCATGATTTCACTCATATGTGGTACATAAAGAAAAAAAATGATAGAACTCAATAAAACAAAGACAAACTACCAGACTATAAAAGAAAGTCAGTTCTGGAAGGGGGCAAAAGGATGAGTAAATTAAGTAAAAGGGGTCAGCCGTATCTTGATGGGGGGAAACTAGAATTCTGGTGGTGGGCTCAACGTAGTATATACAGAGATTGATTTAAAAGTGTGTACACCTGAAGCATGCATAACCTCCTAAATCAATATTACTGTAATAAAAACATTTTAAATATTCCTACTCAACACCACCTGTATCATTCAGGTTTTATCATTTTCTCTTTGCTTAGCTCACCCTCTGATCCTACTCTGCAAAATTTTTAATGTTTAACTCTTCCAAGCCACAATTTAAAATCTCACTAATGCAAGAAGAGTTTCCACTCCAGGAATTTCAAAGTACTTCATGACAGAATTAAGGGTTTCCTGCATGGAAGCAGGGAAATCTGGAAATGACCTTTGGAGGGTAGAGTCAATTAGAACAATTGGTCAATTAGACATGAGTGTCCATGGGGGGCCTAAAGGAAGAAGCATGATTTTTGTTTTGAAGAGCATTCGGGATAATTATTTCTAGCACTAGGATGAAATTTCTGAGGATGAAGAAAGATTGTTTTATTTCATTTCCCACTCACTGACTCTTTTTCTCTTTTCTCTACATGTTCTTCAATCCATAATTCATTCAGCAAACATTGAGCAACTTGCTCAGCCCTAAAAGCAAAGAAGTATTTGCTTTTTTCCCCTCTTTTTTTTTCCAATTTTGGTTTACAGTCAGTGTTAGCCATGGCAGCACTAAGGCTGAGGACCTAGAGCTAATGACTGCTGGCTCCAGGCAAGGATGGGATGAAGGAGCAAGGAGAGTTGAAGGTCAAATACTAGAGAAATCCTGCAGTTCAAGTTTTTCCTCAACTTGCAGGGCAGGCCCACTATATAGCACAATGGAAGTCCCATTTTAACAAGTTAAGGTTGTTCAGGATCACCTCACTTCATAAAACTCAAACAGACCTGTGAGGCATCTCTCTGCTGTGGAGTTTCAGATGTTATTGAATGTACCAAGTGACAGTGCTTCTGAGCATAATTTCTGGTTTGGGCAGTGGCAGTAACTTTCCGAAATTCTTTAGGTTGCTAAAATTCAAAGAATTATTTGCTGATACTGACTGACCCTCAAACGTGTTTTCTAGTCACAGTATAGAATACATTTCATTCCTAGCCCAAGATTCAAGCATTTGTAGACAGATTATTTGCCCTGAAGTCTCTAAATTTCCACATTCATAGCTGAAAAGCCCAAATGTTCTTAACTGGGTTCCAAATGATGCACTTACCAACTCTTCAGCACCCATTAATCTCCTACAGACAAACTCCAGCTTCTGTGCCTCTTTATCATCACCAAGTAAAACGCCAAACAAGGCAGAGCAAGGGTGGGGCAAGGAGAGAAGTCCCTGAGCACAGACTCACTTGTGACTGCTACCCTGACTTGGGATGTGGTCTCTGCTGCCTCATCTCAAACTGCCTCACGCTCTGACTCAGAATTGGAAAGGAGCCCAGATGTGGCCTGGCAGATAGCTCTCTCCTGTCCTGACTAATCTTGGGGTCACCCTCTCAGGCTCTTTCTATCCAGACGCACTTACAGGGGATGTGAAGTGTGGGGTCTGACTCCTCTCTTCTGGTTACTTCCTGACATGTCTGGGGTAGTTATAACTCTAGAGCCTAAGGGACACTGTCTTCGGGGAACTCCTCTATTCCTGCCTCCATGGGTCCAAAAGGCCAACCTGGGACAGAGGGATAAGCAGATGGGAGACGCAAATGATCATTCTCTTGGAAAAAAGACCTCTGGCAATTCAGCCCCACTTTGACTTTGTGTTCTGTCGGCAGGTCCTCTGTCTCCTGGGCTCAGGGGTCTCCCCTGCCCGCTCCCATGAGCGAGCTATTGGGCAGCCTACACAGCAGCTCTCTTGAATCCAATAAGCTCACAGGGGAGTGCTCCTGGGCTTCCTGCACATAATGCTTGCACACAGGAAACATTTATCTCTACCAAGTGCCAAGCATGACTATGGGCACTGTAGATGTAGCAGTAAAGCTAACACAATTTTTACTGCCTTCATGTTGCTCAAATTTTAATGTATATATGGAGACCAAGTAAATCAATTAGCAAAATTTATGGTCATTAGTGACAGATACCACATGTAACAGTGCAATGTAAAAATGTAAGGAAATTGTGTTTGGGGGGAATTTTATTGGCTACTATTTTAAACACTGTGCTCAGGAAAAAGCAGACCTGAGAAGGAGCTCTGTGGACAGAAGAAGAAGTAAAAAGTCAGAGGCAAGGATATGGTGACTGTTTGTGAGAAACGACTAGGGATGCAGGTTAGACTGAATGAAATGAGGGAAAAGGTCAGATAGATAAATAAGGGTCAGATTTTGTAGGGCCTTATAAACTCTATATACTCACTTTTTCTGAGTGAGTAATGAAGCTGTGCAGTACTTTTATGTATAAGAGTTAATGATGGCCTGACTTGTATTTTAAAATGGTCGCTCTGGCTGTGGTATTTTGATCTAAGTTATGGGAAACAAGAGCTGAAGCAAGGAAATCCCTCCTTTGCCTTAGAGACTTATCATTCCAACAATCCAGAATGGAGACAAAATGGCTTAGATGTGGGTACGTCCGATGGGGTGAAATGGTGGGATTCTAAAGCTGATAGGATTTGCTGATGGATGAGGTGTTGGTTTTGAGAGAAAGAGGGAAACAAGGAAGGCTTTGAGGTTTTTGACTTGAAAGTATGTAATTGACATTAACTGGGATAGGGAAGCCACAGAGAATTACACTATATTCCCTAGTTGAATGAGGAAATTAACACGTTTGTAGGCTCTGACCCATGATGATCCAATTTCCAAATACATATTTCTTTTTTTTAAAAGATTTTTTAAAAAAGATTTATTTTTATTCATACAAGAACCGGGGTACAGGCCAGATGTGCGGGAGGGTGAGAGGATTCACCAGAGACAGAGCAGGGAACACAATAGGCAGACTGATGAAATACACTGCTGAGGGAAGCAGTGGGCAAGACAGGAGAGGTCTGCTCACCATGTGGGTTGCTCCAAGGCCGACGGGGCTCGAACCGGCACTGCAGAGGCTGCAGACAGCTTCACAGTGCTATGCTCAACCGCCTGCACCACCAGGGAGGCCCCAAATACATAGTTCTATTATTATCCTATCCTTCTACATCCCGTGGTCTGTATGTAGCTTTCTAGTTCCAGCTAGAAAGATAAATTTCTTTTTCTCCTGTGCTACCAAAATATCTATGTACTGTTACATTGATTTTATAATATATTTTTGCTTTTTCTACTAGGGCTTACTGAGTAATGATAACAAGATTGATTTATGTTACCGTCCCACTTTCTAGTACTATGCTGAGTATAAAATAACTTTCAATAAATATTTTTGAATGCCTGAAGGAAAATGTTAAATCATGATGGTTACTTAAAATGTTTTTTAACAGTTACTTTAAAATTTTGTATTTATTTATTTTTCCAAAGTCAACGCACCATCTCTAAGTACTTATATTTCCCATTGTTCACGAATCTTAAAGTGAGTGTTGATTTTTCCATCTCCTCTGGGATTTTATCAGGAGCAGACAACTAGAGTCAATGCTTGTCCCATCAAGACACATAACCACAGGTCTGGGCAGCGTAGTGAGAGATTATGCATCTATACCCTTCCAGTCTCTATCAGAAAACCATGGACTGCAAAGGAGAACTCAGTGAATAAATATAGAGAATAAATTAGGGTTGTATATTTTATCTCTTAGTCTCTGCCTCCTCATGGTGACTGTGAAGATTCTTGATTGAGGAACGCACAGCAAGGACACAATCACTTTCTTCTGTCACCCACCACTCCTTAGTAATTTCCAAATCCCTTGTTTTATCTCCTTGGTTCTTACCCCATAGACAATGGGATTGAAAGCTGCAGGAATCACATGGTGTAGGACATTTAGTAAGACAGGGATTTCAGGAGGAACTTTTTGCTTGGCCATATGGGTAAAAATTAAAACCAGCAGGATGGTACTAAAAAAAAGGATGAGAATGAAGTGAGAGCCGCACGTGCTCAGCGCTTTGGCTGCTGCCCCTTTCGCCTTGAGTCTGAGAACAGCTCGGAGGATGAAAGTATAGGAGAGGAAGATGAGAACAAGATCGGAACCCAGGAGCGTCCAGGCCACAATTAAATGGTAGATTTTGTTAAGGGTAATGTTATCACAGGAGAGTTTGGACACAGGGAGGTTGGCACAGATACAGTTCTCAATCATATTTTTTCCACAATAATGGAGCCGGGCAGAGAGGATAGGAACAGGGGCAGTGAGAATTGTGTTCCGGGCCAGGATGAAGACGACAGCCTTTGCCACAAACCGGTCAGTGATGATGGATGGGTAGCGCAGAGGCTTGCAGATGGCCACGTAGCGGTCATAGGCCATGACCAGGAAGGTGCAGGACTCCATGCCCAGGAAGCAATTCATGATGAACATCTGGAGGAAGCAGGCAGAGTGGCTTATGGGCCTGAGATCAAACCAGAAGATGGCCAGGACCTTGGGGATGACAGTGAGGCAGAGCACAATATCCAGCAGAGAGAGGAGGCTGAGAAGATAGTAGAGGGGCTCATGCAGAGAGGCCTCCAGCCAGATGGTGATCAGGAGGGTGGCGTTGGCCCCCATGGCCAGGAGGAATAGGATGCTGAGGGGCAGGGACAGCCAGCGCTGCCAAATGGGGGACCTAACAAAACAATTCAGGAGGAACTCAGGGGCTTCAACAGACAGGGAGATGTTGCTATAAAGCAGCATTGACAGAGGCTTCAGCGCGGCAGATGTCCCTAAGCAGCTGAAGAAGAGAGAGAGAGTTAATTCTACCATAAACTCTGATGACTAGGTACACAACTTATAAGATCCAAGAGGATAAGTAGGCAACCCACCTCATCCACCCCTCATCTCTTTTGCCTGGCACATTTTTGACACAGACTAATGGATAACTATCTGTTGATACATAAAATAAAGTCTCCCATCTTTGTACGTTCGTCTGTTTCAATTTATGTTTTCTCTTGTGTGAATGTGTCTTCAATTTGTTTTCTTGGTTTATAATGAATGAATCTAATTATTTAAGCATCAAGTGTTATTTAAATGAAATGTTAAATCATAACCTGAGAAAACGTTTCAGTTTAAACTTTAAAATGTACATCAAAAATTCTCAAAACTAAATGACACCCAGTATCAGATTTTTGATGGAGTGAGTGATGAGCGTATCTAGGTAATTAAATCTTCTAATGAAAATGAATACAGGGGGCCTCCCCGGTGGCAAAGTGGGTTGTGTGCAGCGCTGAGAAGCTGTCTGCAGCCTCTGCAGTGTGGGTTCCATTCCCGGCCAGTCGGGGATATTCCCACATGGCATGGCAGACCTCTCTGTCTCCCTGCTGTTCCCCTCATCAGTGTATTTCAGTCAGTCTGCCTGTTCTGTTGCCCACTCTGTCTCTGGTGAATCCTCTCAACCTCCCATGCCTCTGGCCTATACCCCAGGTCTTGTATAAAAATAAATAAATCTTTTAAAAAAAATAAAGAAAAGGAATACAAATCATCTATGGTTGTCTGTGTCAATCGTTATCTCTGTGGGATACCCATCCTCATATCCACACTTATGCTCACACCTATTCTATGCTTACATTATTTGAATACCTTGAATACATCTATGAGCAGATAAGAAATAATACACAGGCTACAGATTGAGTGAAGTATAAACATCAAAATCAACTGTTGATATTGGCTATCAGCCTAAGGAAATCTGTGGCACTACATACACAAAAGAACAGTTTTCATTACTTGAAGCACCTCAGGGACAGAAGATAAAATTCAGGCTCAAGCAGGTGAGGAATCTATTAGCTACATAGACTGGACTTGTAGCACTACATCCTCAATGAAGGTGTGCACTAGAAATAAGCCAATTCCTTCATCCATACCCTCACTCCAACCTGCAATTTCAGAGAAAAATTACTCCCTCAAAGCTATTATATAAGAAAGGTATAAAGAGAGAATTATTTCTGTAAATTCTGAACCATAGGGTCTTCCTCATGAGTTCACATCATCTGGCTCAAAAAGGTATTTAAAGTCACCCTAAAATGGTAGTGACTCCAGAAAATGACAGAAGCAAGCTCAAGTCCTTTCTTGAGGACTTTTATCTCGGGTCTCAACTTCAACACAGAAACTTTTGAAGAAATTATTTTAAAATATCATGAATAAGAGCCCACAAAAACAAAGAATAGAATAGCCAACCCATTAAAACTTGAGATGTGGGAGTTACTTGTGAAAGAATGTTGCACATATTCCTTTACTGGGTTTTAAGAAATAAAATACAAGCTGAAAATATGAACAAAAGATAAGCATACTTCAAAGATTTAGTCCTTGCTCCTAGAAATGAAAAAAATATAATTAAAATTTTAAGAGATAGGTTTAGTCATGTATTAACTACAATTTAAAAGGTAACTAGTGAGCTGGAAGATAGGTCTAAGGACACTTTAGAATAAAATGCCAGTGGACACATAGAAAAAAGCAAAGTGTAGCCAAGAGCAAGGACATAGAATTCTGGTTAGACGTAGTAACTCTGTCTACTTTTGTCTAACCAGAATTAAGAAGATGACATTCAGAATTTATATTTTGTTCAGAGTACTGGAAGCTATAAAAATTAACAGAGCAGCTGTAAAAAAAAAAAAAAACAGGTATATTTGAGAAATACAATATTAACAGTAAGAACTACTGGAGAACTCACCATAGGTTAAAGACAGCTATAGAGATGTTGAACTATCTCTGTTGAGGAGGTAGGAAGGTCAGAAGAATACAGTCAGAATGAAGATGGAGAGAAATTAAAAACAGATGGAAATACTGAAGAAAGTATAGGAGAAATAGAGAATCGAATGAGAATTATCAAACGTACATAAAATCAGAATTCCAGATTGAGGAGGGTCTACAAAGTAGCAGATACTTGCAAACTTTTAGGGAGAGGAAACAGATCCACAGCAAATCCAAGATTTCCAATAAATCCAGAGAGAGAGACGGAAAATAAATGTACCCCATGGTATCATGGTCCAACTTCAGATTCAAAGACAAAGACTTCAGATTCAAAGACCTGATACATGGTATCAGGTCCAACTTCAAAGACAAAGAGAAAATCTTAAAGATCAGCGTGACTATTGCAGTCAGAGGATACAGTGTGCCTGGTCATGGACAGAATCCCAGGGTAGGAGCTGCACATTTGCACAGGGTACTTGACCTCATTTTGAAGCGTATCATTACTTTCACAGTCCCCACAACGATTTCCTCCTGACCCCTGTATTTATATTATTTGCCCTCATTTCTTTGTCCTGGTAACAAGGGCTCATTGCCCACTGTATTGTTCTGAGCATCCTTCGACAGGCTTCCTGGGGTTACAATCATGGCCGCTAGGGGTTATTGTGCAAATAACTCTTCTCAGTGGCCTGAGTTATAAGATTTCTATTCTTGGTGTCTAGAGGAACCATACCTGTGCAGACTTTTCTCAGTCAGAGCATTTTATTTTATTTTGTCATTTATTTTTCTGAACTTTTTTTTTTTTTTTTTGGTGGGACCCTCGCCGGCGGCTGGGGAACGAACCTGAGCTGCAGAGGCTGCTGGCAGCCTCACAGCCCAGCGCTCAACCGCTGTGCCACCAGGGGAGGCCCTGAACTATTTTTTTTAATGAAGTTCCACTGTTTTACATCCTTGCTACTATTTTGACAGTATAGGATTTCTCCCCTCGGGTGTCATCACCATAGCTCTCCCATCACCAAGCACACATAGTCCTCTGTCATTGCTCTCCTCCCTGCTGCATCCTCTCCTCCCCATCTGGATGCCTCAGAGCTATGATCACCTTTCAAAGGTTGGTTTTAATGCTCGTCTTTGTCTGATCCTTTATTTTGTTTCTGCATTCTGTATGTAAGTGACAGCATCCTGTTCAATTATCTTTTTCCATCTTCTCTCCATCATCTATTTTCTGGGCAGGTGTGCTTCTGCTCTCCCCACTCTCTCCATTCCAATCTTCTACCCATTGAACCGGGACTCATGCCAGTGTCCACAGCTTCCCCAGACTAACAGATGCTTGGAAGAAGCAAGCTTCGAGCACCACTTTCTACCCAATGATTTTCTTTGCTCCCTTCATTGTGTATCACTCCCTACCCCTCTCTCTTGCTCCAGCTCCTATTAAGCTGGTTTGATATCAGCCTGTACCTTTTCAAGATGAAGACATTCCTGCCCTACTTGTATACACTCTAGTTAGTCCTAGTACTAACATTCTGGTAATCTTTTTCTCTCCATACCATGAATGTTAGCTTCTGTGTCAAACTCACCATTACTAACAAAAAGTCTAACATCAAATCTAACAAAGAATAAATGGGAAAGCAGAAGTACCCTTTATTGTTGTGTCAAAACTATTTCCAAAATGATATTCCAGTATTCAATACCTGCCAGTATTGAAATGGAATGACATGTTTCTGTAAAGTTCTAAAAGGTTATTAAAGTATGAGAAATGTCTCATCACAGAAGACCTTCTTTAAACTTACTCATTTTAAAATGTGAATGAAACAATACCTCAAAAATGATAGCTAGATGATAAATGAACAGTACTGCATTATGGAAAATATTATTACTCATGACAATGAAAATTTGTAATGAAAATCCAATATTGCACTGAGTTTAATAAAGCCATCAGTCACTTCCAGTTGATGGTAAAGAAATCTCACAAAATGAAAAAAAGATAATTGAAATGAAAAAGAAGAGATTGTGCTGAGAATAGAGGGGGCAAAGGAAGCAAAGAGAAATAAGGGGAAAAGCAGATGAGGAGTTGGTTCTTTTAGGAAATGAGAAAGGCAGTGAAAGACAGATTAGTGAAGAGTTCTAAGTAGTGACCATCAAGGACGTGACTGGGAACTTTCTTGGCCTTCCACATCTACATTCTCCCTCATGTTCCCTTAAAAGTTCAATGAAAATTTTTTGAGATCTCTCCCACGGGATCTTCAGCCCCCTGACTCTCCATCTGAAACAAACCTCTCTCCCCAAGGACCGCGGAAGTCCAGGGGCAGCTTGGGGGGTCATTGCTCTCCGGCCCAGTCTTTTCTCACATCTGCTTCCCTTCAAGCACCTGTCTTCAACTTTCTAGCCTACAGCTTTTCCAGTGGCAAGTCCAGATTTTTCCCACCACAATCACTGCACTAGCCAGGTGTCTGATATCATAGCGGTGACTCAGTGCTTTCATTGTGTGCTGGAGCCAGACTTACTGAGTGGAGACTGATGTCTGCCAGGGAGGGATATTTCTGGCTCTGTCTGCCTGAATCTTCTACACTCTGGCTCCCAGAAAGGAGTGTTTATGCTTGCACTCTGACTTCCTTTCTTCCCAGGGGAAGAGAACCTTGCTGTCTGTCTCTGAAAGGACCAGAGACTCAAGAGTCCTGTATTTTTTTATCCCTCAGGGAGAAAGCTTCCCTCTCATCTCTCCACATTCTGTGGTCCCTAAGCAGTATTATTGCCTCTGAAGGCATAGGGACAGTTCAGAGTTAATCATGCTGCACCATTTGAATGGGTAGAGTGTGACACTTAAGAAACAAAAATATGATTAATTATAAAAGCAGAACCTTAGAACAAGGGGATTTAAGGCCAAATGCCAATTGGTACCAGGTTCTGACTGTCCAGAAACAAACTGATAAAAAGTATTCATAATTTATAAAAAACCAACCATGTTTAGAATAACTGATAGTTTAGAATAACTATAACACACTCAAATATGCTCCCTA